TTTTTTACAAGGTGTCCGGGCTTGCGTCCGACTAGATCCTTGTCCCTGAACCTCCGGCCCCTCAGCTGCTCAGGGAGGTAAATCGCAGGATATGCCCTTGTTGGCTCCCAGGTTCCCACAACTCATTTGGACTCTTTCCGCAAAGAGAGCTCTCCTCACTGGGCGTTTGTTCACACCAATGGCTTCCTCTCCATATGGCTCACAGTGTTAACTCCAGGAATCGAACTCCCCACCCTTGCTTCCAGCGTCCCAGCGAAGTGATTGTTCCACCAACTCGGATGTGCCCTGGGGGGCAAAGAGACGGATATCTTGATAGCATTTCAAGTAACTCCTTAACTTGGATTTTTGACCGAAGAAGTAGGGGCTACGATAGCTGTCGAATCTTTTACTAAATACACGGACAATTGTGTTGATGATGGACTTACAAGCATTATCATTACAAACAAGTATTATTAGAACAGAGAAAAGAAGGGACTTCGAGTTTCTTGTAAATCAGACGACACCCAATTATGCTTTTATCTCTGATTCTTATAGAAGAGATTTCTGAAAAATATCTTAATTAATAATTATTGTTTGAAAGATAAATTTTAAAAGTACTTTCTTTTTCGAAGGAATGTTTAGGTGAAGTAATATTAGATCAACTTTCTCTAAAAACTTTCCTTACTAGCGGGAACACTTTTATAAAACTAATCATACGAATCCAAAAGTAATTTTTGAACCGCAAAAGCACTTTTGGACTTCTTAAAAGTCATACCAAACAAACCTTAATAATCTCGATTAAAAGCTTAAATGACATATTTTTAACAAATAATTTGTTTGACAATGGTTGTTTAATCAAAGTCCAGAGACAGAGACATAACTATAGAGTAGTGGATTTTTAGGAGGTGTGTCATGTGTGAATTTAATTGGAACAGAGGATCCTGGGTAGGATTAATAGGTTTGAAGAGAGAAAATCCATGCCAGCACACCCACGTTCTCTTTCTTAGTTTATGAATATTGAACAGAAAACCAGAAATGAAACTCTTATTAGGTGACAGCTACTGAATATTGTTAATTTGTTTGGACAATCAAACCAAATATGTTAATTTAATTTGTTTCACATCGCATGACAGAAGAGTTAGATTTATTTGTGGTTGTTCGAGGTTTAGGAATCGTACAGTGTCATTTTGATTAAACATTATTAAAAAATTAAAAAGTAAAGATAAATTTGATAATTTAACATCAAGTTCTCTCGTGAATCATGTTTTTCACCAACTTGATGCAACAAGTCAAGTCTAGTGACTAAGTATAATACTCGAGATAATGATACAATTGGATATATGATTGGTTTCAAAATAATTTTATGTAATTTTTATCTATATATTTTCATTTCATTTACAATTGGGAATTTAAGCCCCCTGTTTGGCCCCCATTTTGTGGAAATGAAAATGGGTGGAATAATATTTTTTTTGAAAAATGACTGATTGAAAAAGAAAGAAAAGTTTTCAATTTACGTATAATATTATTTTATGAAAGATTGTGTGGTTGAAAATAAGAGAGAAAAAATAAAATATAATGGAATGAAAATTAATGGGGGTCAAACAAAAAACTATCTTTTAGTTAGTTTTTTTAGTAAATAAATTCTAAATTACTTTCCGATTAGAATTATAAATTTTTGCCATTATAAAAATTTTAGCCATTAAAGAGAATTTAATCATTATCTAAATTTTAGACCTTCTCATTATTTTGGACTAAACAATGATGGTAAGCCTTAATTAAAATGATTCATATTTTTTATTATAATAAAATTTAGTGAAGTTTTCCCCCAATGTTGTTTTTTTTTTTTTAATCAATTTGTCTATCCTAAATTAACATTCATTTAGAACCAATGATTCTGCAGTCAAGATCAAGAATTCGATATTCTTTGTAAAGAATCAACAAATATTTGATTCCTAAATTTGCAGTATTAGTTGTGAATCAACGTGTTTCTAGGCTCGTTCTTTTTGTTCTCATCGTTTTACATCAAATAAAGTCCTACATATCATTATAATGTAGTAGGGTAAAAATGGCTGAACTTATATCCACTTTTGAATTAGCCGAACCACCCATAAGCGTTAATGGAATAGACGAAAGCCTATTGATATATCCAACCAACACTATCAAATGCAATCGAGTTTAGAGATGCTTATCATTTGAAATGTGAAAATTTTTCTAGAAATGTGAGGGTAGACTTCAAAGGTCGTTTATAAATGTCCTTTCTTTTTCTTGTTTTGAGAAGAAACGTTTCACCTTTTTTGCTTTTGCTCTTGAAATAGGAATATAGGATAGTGTTACCCATAAGAAGATAAAGATGTCACACATGCCAAAATCATTGCCAATTGACTAGACCTATAATTGGTAGTTCATGGATTATGGAGAATTCTCAATTATTACATAGTTGATTATACTAGACCAGAGCCAGACACGATCAATTCTTGATCGAGCTGTTGCGGTTTCAAGTAGCTAACTTGGACAAAAAATTGCTAATTAAATTCAAGGGATGTCACAACTAAACATCATCCATGCTATGCTTTTTTATATAAGATTCTTAACCCAAATAAATAGTAATCTATTAAGTGACATAGCTAAATAGATAACTTTTCAAAATTTCACTAGTCGAGCTTAGTAATACATGTTTTTCTGGTAAATTTCAATAAATTTCATATTCACATTGTCAATTGGAGTGACCAATAACGTCAACAACAATATAAATGAGAGGATCTACATTGTTCTTGGCGTTGTTCAGGTTTACTGGATGGGATGGATGTTAAGCCGAAGTAAGAATTTATGAAGGGCAAAATTGACAATAACCGTATATTTTATTAAATAAAATTTAAAAAAAAAATGCCATTTTTTTCAATTTTTGGAAAAGTATCTAATTTTCTTTAAAAATCAGTAATTTTCAATTTAGTTCGTTATATATATATATATTAGAAAAAATATCACCATTTCATTTATTTCAATTTCTCATTGAAAATAACATTTTACGTGGATAATAGATTATGTTACAATATAGTATTTTTAAAAAAATAATAATTAAATATCTTGCTCATGTAGCACGTAATATTTATCATATGTTACTTGTTATTAAAAATTACTGTTTCACAAAGGTAAAATATTGTGTTGCCATATATTAATATTTATCGAATCGAAAAATTAACGATTTATAGGGGTAATATCTTTTACAACCCTACTGTGTATGCATCAAGCTTCATACAAAAGCATGCGAGAACACACACATAGGGTTGTGGATGAAGGTATTTTTTGGCAATTTTTTATTTACGGTAGGTTCCACACATAAGAGTAATTTAGCCAAATTCTATGGAAAATTTTCTATACAAATGACTTAATACTATCTTGTATGACACTGTGTTCCTTTTATTCAGTACATTACATTTTCTATGAGTAACATGTTACGTAGGCTACCCTATGTCAAGTGTGTTACTTTCAGTTCTTATTTTACCAACATCAAG